TGCCACAAAGTGTGATGGTCCTGACCTAATTTATCATACATAATAAAATCAACCATGATGCACTGAAATGTTCAAAATGCATGAAAAAATATGTGCCGTGTTGATGTCAACTATTATGGCTGATAGATTTGTTTTGTGGATACAACTGTGTCACAGAAACAGTAATCTGTAGTCATGGGAGTTTTTCACATATATTTTTGTCATTTCAGGTCTTATTCAGTCTAAATAGGAGCTCACGGTGTACATTTGAGTGATGAAGTTCACATATGTGGCATAAGCATTTCCACATAAACAATTCAATGCGACTTCTTTGGTGAACACCGTAAAAATCCTTCACAGCTAAAATAGATGTTGATTTGCCATTAATATTTTTCTTTTATTATCATATAAAATATTTTTATTTAGCCATAATGCTAATAATAACATCCACATGTCCATCCACTTTCTTAGCCACTTATCCAGTTCAAGGCTGTGGGAGGACTGGAGCTGATCTCAGCTGACAGCTGTGTGTGTCTGGAGGAATGCAGGAAGATAAGAACTGTCTCCAGCTTATCTTACACATGATACTGAGAAAAATAATTTTTAAAAACTGTGATTATTAGATACAGAACCATGATTAATATGTGGTTTTACTGATGGTTTACACAGTTGCACAAAAACCTAAAACTGATAAAAAAAATATAACACAACATATTGAACATAAATATTTTCCAGTTACCATAACTTATATGTGGTTTCACTAAGGGTTAATTATGTTCTCTAACATATCGAGACTATCTCTCCATTCGGTTATGTCACAGCCGGGCCAACCTGGGCAAAAGTGTCGAAATTCAGACCACACACGGAGGCACAGGTGAGCATGAGAAACAGAACTCTTTTTACAAGAACAACTAATAACGATTCAGACTGTGAGTACACAAATAACTATGAACAACACGAAACACTTGGGCAACTAGAATAATTCAGTGGCAGGGGGCAATGTTCACAGGGCCTTGGAACAGGTGATCCAGCAAGGTGTCACAGGGAACGACAGGAGGACAGAGTTAAAAGCGGTGTCCAAGGAGCCATGACGAAAATGTATAAACAGATCTTGTCTTACTTGGCAGGTGGAGGCTTATACGCACGAGAGGGGGAAAGAGGTGAAGCGGCGCTGATTCCAGGTGGTGGGCTACATAGGTGCTGTAACAGATGGGCAGCCAGGTGAGTGAAAAGAAAGGCCCTTTTGCGTTGAGCTGTCTTGTACCGACCAGCGTCCAGATGATGGTAAGTTTGGCCAGCAGAGGTAATGACTATGGGTTGAAAGCACAAGATTAATATCTCTAAAAACAAAAATACTCTTTCGCAGTCAGCTCTGTGATCACCAGCACTAACTGTAGTTAAACTGAAGCTTGGCGGAGAGTAGTGGCGAGTGCTGGTCTTAAATATGTACGTCCCAATTGCCAGCAGGTGTGGAGATGCACAGAGACTATTATAAGATGAACTTAAGGATCTTAAAGGGGCCTATAAATAAAATGTATTATTATTATAATTA